CACAGGAACACTCCTGCTTCAAACCATGAGATGAACTGAGGCCATACAGTGACATCAGTTTACAGCAGAGTCAAACATCCAGTTTTCTAACAAAAACAACCTCCAGCATTCAGTGCACAGCTGTGCATGAACATACCTACAGAGACAGTTGCCTTCTGGCACTGAAGCCCACGCTGGGTAGGTAGCACAGACAGATCAAAACTCCAGCTGCAAGGCCAGGGCACTGTCTCCAGCTGTTTGACATCAGTGGGGTGGCACAACAGGAGCTCCTATTAGTTCATCTGCAATTTCCTGCTAGCTGCTACCACTACACCAACACATCTAGACCATTCCCACTGTGGGAACTGTGGCAGACAAGGGCAGAGCAAGCAGTGCTTTTGCCATGATGTCACTCCAGTTCTGTTTAGCACAAGGCAGAGCTGTGGGTGAGCTGCAGGAGCTCCAGCTACACACAGGCTCCAAACTGAAGAAAGAACACATTTCAAAGTAGTTCCATGCTCATTTATCTTTGAGCTGCATTTCTTTAAATCCCATACAGAGTCAAGAAGCTGAGACATTAGTTCCTCAGAAACTTTATTTTCATTCAAGCTACAGAAATAAAGTAGTACCTTCCAAATTTCCATAGTATTTTCTGCGTATTTGTCCGGCTCAGGGTGAGATGCACTAGGATAAGCTACCCTGTACATATGGAGGAAGATAAGGCTCAAAAAACAGCTTTACTTCAAAGAATGCCAAACCTTTCCTACAAGGTTGGCTCCAACTCTTTGATAACATTAATAGGCACAACATAGGAAAAAAGATTGATCTGAACTACCTATTGTAAGCAAAATCTAATAATTCCTTACAGAGAGTCAAATAAACCTTTTAGAAATAATAAAACAGTTTTCTACTTTGAAAAAATAGAAAAAATAGATGAGTCATTTTTGCTTTATATACGATATATTCACACACACTTTCAAGTATCATTTTCACTATTATCATACTTACATGGCTAAAGATAAAAAAATGAAATCCCATAAGCAGATTAATATGCCAAAGAAGTCACACACAGTCTTTATCTGGGTTTAGCAACACCTGGAATTCTCCATGGTATCACAGTGACTAAAAAAGCAGTGACTAGATTCAGTGTAATTTTTCTTTTTATTAAACATGTTTTAATAAGGCTTGAAAAGTATCAGGATTTAGAAAAACGGAGACAAAAAAAGCACAGGCAGTCACAGACCCTACACAGCCATAAACCCCAAATTTCATAGCCAAGCTTGTCACACACTCAGTACTAGCAGGGAATAAAAGAAAAAAATTCTGAGTTACGTTTGGTTAGCAGGCAAACTGATACCAAGAGACAGACTTCAGCTAGGATGTTTTTACATTTAAGGCATCACACCAAATAACAAGTCAATGCTGGGAAGCATAACAATTGCCATGTGTGCAGCCAGAACTCCAGTTTAGCTCCAGACATCAGAACCTGCTTTATTTCCAAAGAGGAAGGCTAGGAGGGCATCCCAGTCTTCTGGGAAAATGCCAGGCAGCCACCCAGCAAGAGCAGGAGGGACTGTGGGTTTTGTCACAGGGGAAGGAATTTAAGTGCTTATTAAAGGCTTTGCTGCAGGCACCAGAGCCAGACAGATGCCTGAAAACAAATTCTGCTGGAATACAAAACTTTAGGAGCCAAAAGGCAGAAAATCTGTTCAAGCAGCTACAGTGAACAGGTGTCCCACAATGAGATCAAACCAGTAACTCTTCAAGATTTAACAGCTTCTGGAGCTTAGAACTGATGATGGAGAGATCCAGCAGAAGCATTTGACAGGAGTGGCTCCACACTGCTTGCTAACATGCTCTGCACTTCTGCTCTCTAAGACTGATTTGGACAGGCAGGAATGAAATGTCTCTTAAGTGAAATAGGTTTAACTGGTGATGTACTTTGCATTTGTCTGTTTCTTGCCCAATGTGAAAAGGCACAAATAAAAAAAAAATTTAAAAAAAATTAAAAGCCTACTCACAAAAATTTTGCAGAAACCAGTAACTGTTCCTAAGAGGGCAAAGTCATCTAAGAGTGAAGTGCCAGGCAGTCTGAAAGCTTTATGGGTTTAACTATCAAACTATTTGGTTTATTACTTCAGTGCAAGATGTTCTTAAAATCCAGTTTTATAACCATCAGGCCTAGACTCAAAAATAAAGTTTCTTGACAACAAGGGAGGTCATATATCACAGGGAAGATCCATGTTGCTTTTCTAGGCTGAAATACAATTTTTAATTTTTTTTCCCTTTTGGTAAGGGTCCCATGGAGTCCAGAGTACTTTTTCCAAGCATTTCAATAGGAAAAGATTTCATTAGGTAGGATGGAAGTCCAAGCTTGCCTAAAAGCTGCTATTCCCAGTTTCCAGAATTTGGGAAACATTGAGTTTCCTGAGCTAGAGAGAGCCTGAAACACAAGACAGTGACAGCACAGCAGGACAAACAGGAAGTGACAATAGAAAGCATTGCACAGCCCAAGACTTAGTTGACATATGCCTCATTTGTTATCCCTCCTTCACAGGCTGCATTTTGGCACATTCTCACACCTCTTCAAACACAGCAAGTTTCTGCTTTGTTTCCTTGCTCTGCTGCTTTTGCACCACATAAAACCAACTCCTTAACAGATGCTTCAGACATTTACTCTTTTAGTCTTCTCAGGCTTACTGAAACCACACACTGACAATGGCTCCACCCCTCTAGCTGGGAGATTATGACACTGGAGTATTTCCCACCAACACTAGATACTTAAACATTTACTGCTTTTTCCCCCTCACGAGCCTGTGGCTCTTGTATCAATATGCAGAACAGAGAGCTCTCAGCTTTCTCCCATAGCAGACATACAAACTACACCACTATAATCAGAGGAAGGTCAGTATGCAGCACAAATGAGGTTCATGGTCATTTGCTGCTTCTAACAATGAATTAAAGGCATAGGTTATATGTTTGATAAAGTAAGTATGCCAACTAATTTCCAATCAAGTCTTCTAGAAGCATTAGTTGCTACTAAGTGAGCAGCAAAGAGCCTCAAAATCAACCTGGCTACAGTTTTCATATTGCAGTGCCAGTCAGCTGGCTGCTTAAATAGGTCAGGCTCAACAACCTGAAACCACAGGGGAAAAAAAAAAAAAATCAACAAAATTAATCACTTTTCTAGATGAACAAAATGTTGCTACCATAAGTAATAATATTCCAGTCAGTCTTGTAGTGAAACTAAGCACAAGCAGTATTATGGACTTCTCACAACCACACTCAGGCTAAGCTCAGTGCTCTTTACACACATGTGTGAACACCACTCCTGTCAGTGAGCCTGGCCACGCTGCTCCTGAGTTACAGAGACCAGCTAACATCACCACTCAGGAAGCTGACTCATCTTTACCTTCCATCCATGCAAGCATTACTGCTTTATTCAGAAATACCAAAGCCTTTAGAAACACTACTTAGCATAAGGCTGATGATATAGAACAAACACTTCAGAGAAATTTAGTTCAAAAAAAAGCTCACTTTAAGTGCAGAGATGATGAGCTGAAAAATAGGCAGGGACTGCTGCTATATTCTACTGTGAATGGTTCTATTAAACAAACCTGAACTGCTTTGCACACCTGCAGAATCACAACAGGCAACCAGTTAGACCAGAGTTCACAGAAACCAGCACACAACAGCCAAATAGCTCTCTCCACACCTAACAGCTATCCTGGTTAATAATCCAGAATGAAGTAACAGTCCGATTAGATACAGATGCCTATTGTGTTTCTATTAAACACTCATAATAATGAACCAGACATTTTTGGTATGGTCTGATATGCTCCTTAGGACACACATTTCTGATAAAATGTGCAAGAAAAGTGTTCAAGTCTACTTGAGAACACAGAAACACCTCAGTGCCTTAATCAGTCAGATTCAACTGAAGCTTCACTGCCACAGTGACTAAACTGGCCTTAAGGAGTTACCACTAAGATCAAAACCCCAATAAGCACCTGCCCTAACCCTGAACTGAAGAAGGGCTACACAGCCCTGGGAAGATCTGCAGGAACATTGCATGCTAAAACCCATGAAATTAGCAATGAAGCATCGATTCTGCTACACGCTCTGCTTTAAATGAATAGAAAACACCACTCAGCTTTCGCTCAAAACAAGTTAACTCAATGAGCCTCAAAATTTCCCCCAATCCTGCAAGTCAAGCAAACTTACAGCTCCCACAACTTTCAAACAATGAAACGAAACTTCGTAAGACATACGTAACAGTAGACTGTCTAGATCCTCATACACTTTCATGTCTCTCTAGGATGCTTTACTTGTACTTCATACAGAAATTATATCCTTAGAGCAGAATCACTCACTAAAGCACTTTTAGTGTAGCTCCTACCTGACACTAAACAGCTTTCTATATACCCTTGAAATTCTTGGCTGGCATAAAACAGTCAAAAGAGAAGCAATGCAAATCAGGATCAATTAGATCAACCACTAAGAAACAACAGCAGCCACATGGATAGAATTTCACTTGGATTTAGGGTGCTATCTAAGATTTATTAAAAGTGTCAACAGACTATAGCTCCAGACTTCATCTTTCTTGGAAGACACTACAATAGAAGCCACAGCAGAGACTGCCTTGTCACAAGAGGTACAAATACTTGCTTATTAGATGGAGAAATAAAAGGACAAATCTAGTTGTCTGAAAGACAACTCACTGTACACATTTTATTTACAGTTTTGTACACTGTCTTAGTATGAATGGGACCGCTTTCTACTTGAGCCATTTTAACCAAAGCAAAAAAACCTAAGTAATACAAAGTGTTACAATACAGCATAAGATACAAAACCAGACATACTAATTCTAGTAAGGAATGTAAATTATGGCATTACATTAAAAAAAAAATCCACATTTATGTTTAAGAAATCACACAGACAGATCACTGACTTGACTGAAATGCATAAATTTGTAGCAAAAGCTTTTGATGTTTCAAAAAGACCAAAAAATTACCAAAGAATGCACAAAATTGACGTTTATTCCACCTTTGTCATATTCCCAGATTCTTCACCAAATGTTACATGAGCAAACACAACTGAAATCAAAATATCACTAATGTTACCAAATAGGGAAAACAAATAAATTAATCTAGCAGCCATCAGCATAGGTTACAGCAAAGATGATGCTGTATAAAAAAATTGCTAGAAAACTGTATGCACCATACTCTTTTCCAAACCAGCAAAATGTTACTGCATACAATGCAAGTGTAAAACAGAGTAATTTCCTGCAGGTACAGAAATGCAACTTCTTTTCTGAATACTGTGGATAAACGAATTCTTCTTTTTGTAATAGTAATGTTTCTACCAAGCTATTACAGAGTGGGCCAGAAACACATTTATGGATCTGGGGGGTGAAGTGTACTAAAATTCTGATTGGTCATGAAGTAACCTTCAGCCAAATAGAAAAATTGAACACAGAAGTACAAGACAAAGGCAAATCAGACTTCTCACAAATCTCAGCAACATTTAGATGGAAATCAAATTTAAATGTAGTCCACTCTGCTTTTGAAGAGGCTTTGGTTCAGCTCCCAATCTCGATTGCTTGACGCAGTCTCCTATGAAAGAATACTCAGAATATGTCTTCTTAGATAACAAACCTATTTTTAGTGGTGGAGCCGCTCTTAGTAGCTGTGTCTGCATGGGACTGATAACCAATCACTATCTTTGGAGGAAGTCCTAATCTTTCCTTGTATACTCTCCTGGAAAGAAAAAGAATAGAACATTTTAACCGAAGTCCTTAGGAAGGAATTAGTATCAGGACACCTGCTTTTAGGATCTGCTGACACCAAGAAGAGTTGCCTACTTAGAAACAATTTCTCAAGCATGAATAAAGGACTTCAAATATGATTTTTCTAGCATATTGCACCTAAAGCCCTCTTTTAGTTTTTGCACAGTGACTTACCATATAAAATAGGACAAGCTCTTGCAAAAAACCCCATAATTAACAGGCCCACACAAATATAGAATGTAGGGATTATACTGCATTCATGGAGTATCCCTACTATCAGCAAGCTGTATTTCCACATAAAGAAACAGAGCAGCTATAGAGAAGTCATTGTTCATGATTTCAAAACTCCTGAGACAGTAAGTCACCTGAACTCAGTAAAAATGCAATTCCCTGGAACAGTCAGGTTTTATCACTACATACATCTCAATTTTCTTTAACTACTGATAGAAGCAGACCCCCATGGCACTGATCAGGGTCAAACACTCAACAGGAGCCTTAAGAAAAATCAGCTTGGATCTTGTCTGAAGAGGCAGCAGTACATGCCCTTAGACACACACACACTGTACTCCTTAGAACAGAGCAAATGAGATGCAAGCCACTAATGGTACTAGCTACAAGCTCCAACTAAACCACAGAACAATCTTGTTCAACTACAGATTTTTAACAAACCCACAAATCTGGGGGGGTTAACTTACCCTAATCATAATGAAGCAGCTCACAGCACCACAGCTTGCCCCAATTTTAACTGTTAAATAAAAGCTTGATGCCTTTGAGGTTATGGCAATATGACAACTGGTAGTCGACATAACTTACCTTAATCCTCGTCTCAGTTTGCAAAAATCTTAACCTTCTCACAGCTGTCTAAAGGAGTCACCTTAGCTCCTTAGTTAATGATTAATCAGTTCAGTCTCAAGAAGAGGCTCAGGTATGACTTCCCTGCTCTCTACAGCTACCTGAGTGGAGGTTGTAGGGAGGTGGGAGCTGGTCTCTTCTGCTATGCCTGCAGTGAGAGGCCTAGAGGAAATACCTTCAAGCTGAGACAGGGGAGAATCAGATTGAAAAATTCAGGGAAAAAAATTCACTTTAAGGGTGGTCAGGCATTGGAATAGGTTGCTCAGGGAGGTGGTGGAATCACCATCCCTGGAGGTGTTTAAGAGGCATCTGGATCTGCCACTGAGTGATATGGTTTAGGGGTTACAGGTGGTGCTGTGTGGACAGTTAGACTTAATGATCTTAAAGGTCTCTTCCAACCTTGATGATTCTAACGCTCTCTGATGCCTACTAGGATTATTGCAACATTCTGTTAACAGTAGAACTGTGTACCACAGGTTTGTTTGTTTCTTGTTAAGCACTTACCATTCAAGCTTGGGCATACCTGTATAATAAAACTGTCAGCATAAGGCAGACCCAGATTCTTAAAGGCCCAAACGAGGCATGTGTCAGGTCAGTTATCAAGTAAGTGAAAAATGTTAGCAAGCTACTATGCCTGACAGCTCAAGTTTGGCCTGAGACAGATGCACTAAACCAGGAAGATAACTATTTTCATTGGTTTGCATAGGTTAAGTGGCCTACAATGTCCAAATTTAACAGCAAGTAATTCTGAAGCACCAATACTACAGCATAAAGAATCCACTAGCTTCAGCAGGAAGCAGGACTTATGGCAGAGCACACAGACTCATGATAATCTCAGATGACTACTGTTGCTTACCAGAATGAAGGCTACAACATGCTATTACACATGTCAAAAAACCCATGAGTCTCCACATTATTATTTGTACTTAAACAGAGACAAAAAGGTGGGAAAACAGCTGTAGAGTTTCACAGCACAACACTGCATAGTTTTTTCAAATATAAGGACATTCTTGTGTGCCAGACTCATGATAATCTCAGATGACTACTGTTGCTTACCAGAATGAAGGCTACAACATGCTATTACACATGTCAAAAAACCCATGAGTCTCCACATTATTATTTGTACTTAAACAGAGACAAAAAGGTGGGAAAACAGCTGTAGAGTTTCACAGCACAACACTGCATAGTTTTTTCAAATATAAGGACATTCTTGTGTGCTTAAGACTTACAGCACCTTTCCTCTCTTATTGGCAAGAACTGCTTTGCTGAAAAAAATAATCTTATCAATGTTCTACTGTTCCTGACTACTGACCTTTGGCATACTGCAACAGAATGCACATCAACAGGTATTAATTACAACACCTCACTGTGAAATGAGAACTTCTGCCAAGATTTGTGTTCAATTCTTCATTTCTAAGCTACAATGAAGCTACAGCAGCAGTACAAAGCAGGTGCTCAAATATGCTCATACAAAAACACTACCCCATAACACTAATTTGGCACAGTTACTTAAATTTGGGATACAGCTCTGCGCAGGCTGCATTTGCCTGAAGTGTATTCTCTGCCAAGCTGACTGGCTTTAAATGCATGGTTGCACTTTATATATTCAGGGCACACATCACATTACTTACCCTATATGTGTAACAGCATCCTTGTTTTCACATTCAGTTGTCCATATTGCTATTTTATCACCCTTAGTTCTAACATTAACAACAGCACCACATACATCATCACTGTAGTCATCAAACGACTCCCCAATAAGGCACAGCAGCTAGAAAACAGAAAGCAGCAGTTTAGAGTCAGAATCTTGCTCCATAAGCACTCAGTGTACACAAAGGACTGAGGAATACCATATTTTACTGCCTATAGCCACCTGCCATACAGCAATCATTTTCTGTTTATTGCAGTGTTTTCTTGAAGTTCCAAATGTTACAAGTGAACATGAACTCAGCTGTAGTCAGGCATCTTCCTCCTGTCCCACCAACTGAAAGCTGGGACACAGTTTTCATTTACACAGTGCTGCCTCCCACCCTGTCCTCCCAATCCAAAACAAGGTTAAGAATTAAAGGAAAGAATTAAAGGAATGCGTTCTTTCTCCAGTACATTTAACACAGGTAGACAAATCTAGTATTTTAAGTGTTTTTCCATCTATTATCTAGGAAGAACCTGTGAAGAACTATTTGGGCAACATCAGCTATGTAAGGTTCAACCTCAATGCTGAAGTGTGTCAATTCAGAGGTGAATCAGACTGCAGCCAGATGAAAAGTGCTGTCCAAAGAAGCTTCAGAGTTCCCATCAACTCTGCAGCTGGAATCAATGATCCTGCACAATGTATAATGCAAGTGCACCAATACAAGTGTACATGTAACACGAGATCCTTCCCTCCAGGCTCCTAATGGTAAAGTCTGGAACTGGTAAAGGCACTGTACTTCAGGAACACAGACTGAGCTGGGCCACATCCCTGCACAACACACTGACTGTCAAAGTGGTATTCAAAATCCTCAACTTGCAGCTTGTAAAGCAAGCAATCCGGAGAGTCAAAACTGGTAACCTTTCCTGTGGCTGAGACAGATTCATCTAGTCCACGCTGAATTGAAAATCCTCCTCCACGCTGAAGTATTAATCTCCAAATGGACACTTGTTTACTTCACTTGCACAGTATGTTAAATACACTGCCATTATATCACTTTTCCAGAATCACCTGTAACATTTGGAAATTCAACACACTTGCAACTTTTGAACAAAGCAGGTCCTCCAGCACCCATGAGAGGCACACAGCCTGGCTCCATCGAGGGAATACAGAAAGGACAAAGTGTGCTAATGAATACATCAGGTATGGCTGCACATACTGCAAATGTTACACACTGTGCACTCATCAAGTAATGCAAACCATAAATGGTTAAGATTAAACCACACACAAACATGCAAAACACTGATTGACAGCCTTAGTACACACAGAAGCAAAGAAACTACCATGCTCAATAAACACCAGTCACATACATTCTTCAATGTTGCACAACAGGGAAAAAAAGTCTCCTCAAATGAAGTTTAGTTAACAGTTAAGACCATTATATTATAATACAAAAATATTCCAAAAGGAGTTATAAAAAGAGGCTTTGTTTTTTACTGGAGAAAACTGGTTACATATGATTACTGGAACTGGAAGTGACAGGGTTGTTTTAGAGCACATGTCACAGTCACTTGGGTATTTAGGCTCTGTGCCACTGTTCACTGCTAAACAAAAAGCAGAGCCCTCTAGCCTTAAGTCTACATATTTCCCAGCCATATGTAATGGCTATTAAGAATCAGGACTCACACATATGTAGGTGGAAAGGCCAAATGCAAGCAGCAAGATGTTAATTTACTCATGTGCAGTCACACTGCCTAATGGTGTAACACTCTCAATCCTTTCTTCAAATCACAACTACAGGGACTAGAAAGATCCTACAAGGTTGCTATTTTCCACACCTCTGCTGTGATTCTGAAGGCCACTTCTCTCTTTCAAAGGGGTGTAAGTACTTCTTGCCTCTCACACAAGAAAGGAAAAAATATCAGATTTGCTAAGACTGCTGTGCATTGTCCTGTCGGCAGTCCATGCCCCTAAAATCTGGATCACACCTAGGTGATTCTGAGTCAGTTCCTAGACAATACAGACATTGCCTTTTCTGCAACATGTTTGGTGCAGCCCACAATCTCTAGAAATAGATTTAACATTAAAAAAAAAATCTATTCCAGAGATCACAGCAATGGAAAAATGTATTTTTATAGTGTACACACGGGAAGAATGTGCTATTACTTGCCTATCCTAGGGTTAAGATAAATACAGAAAGAACAAAAATCAATCTTAAAGTCCCTTGTTTCAGCAAGGCCAAAACCTTAACATTAGTCACTTCTGAAAGTATCTGTAAAACAAAATATATTTAATCAGCCAAATCTGCAAGTTACACTCAAGCAGTGTATTCTTTTCACAGCAGCTCGACAGTTATTCTGTACATTCCACAGGAAAAGGCTGCTCTGTCCTGCAGAATTCTCTCTGTTGCTGCCTGCTTTAACAGAGTACTCAACAGAACACAAATACATGAAGGATTGCTACCAAAAAATGTTTCAAATATACCCTGTCAATAAAAACTTCCAGGACACTGCTGCCAAGAAATAAGAAGACTAGTCTAACACAAAGATCAAACCAGTTAAAAACATTTTAATGCAAATGCAATATTCTTCAGCTGCAACTAGTCAGGCTATACTGCTTACTGTCTCTAGCCAGAAGCGATCAAGGTCACTTCGTCTCTGTTGTTTGTTTAGTGTAATTAGCCATCGTCCTCCTCGCTTGTTTTTTTCATCTTCCCACATGGGTTCAATCCCATCCTGCAAAGAATGGTCAGAAGTTAAATCAGACTCGATTTTTCCTAAAGAATAACCAAAAGGCAGTGATAACTGAAATAACAAATCAAGAAGAAAGTGTATAGTTTAAGATACATACCTGTCCAGAAATACTGTCTCACACCAGTACCAAAGCTCCAAAAGCTTAACAAGTGCACTCTCTAATGAATTTTTATTTCTACAGAAGAATCACAGCCTAGACAAAATACCTTAGATACCCATTAGATGAAAAAAAACCCCATCAACCTGAGGCAACCACCCACTCTGCCCTGCACGAAACCAGAACGTAGCTGCTAATTTTATCTGGAGTCCTTATTTTATGACTTGGACTCAGTGCAACATCAGCCAAGTGTTTCACTTACGCATAAAGATTATTTCCCTGAAAGAGACACCTTGGACAGTCTCTCTTATTATCTTCCTTCACACAAAGGGTGAGAATAAGAGGGTTTAAACTGCCAGGGCCAAAGGCAAAAAAAAAAAAAAAAAAAAAAAAAAAAAAAAAAAAAAATCAACACAACATTTCAAAGCAAGTTCTGGTTCATGTTTTACCAATGCATGAATGGCTCTAGATATGCTGATACAGCAAAGCAGCCAATTGTCATCCCATATCCACTAGCTGTGCTGCACTTCAGAGTCATTCAAAAAGCAAGTAATTGTCTAGACAGAGAAATTCAGCCAAAAACTGTCCATTAAGAGAACTGGATGGCAGAACTTTGGCTGGAAACTAAGTGTTCAACATGCAGGATGGAGTGGTGTCAGCTCATTTTAAATATAACACCCCTACTGGCAGCTGCAGATCTCAAACTACTTCATCACCTTTAAGAGGCACTCTTGCAAGGTCATGACTGAAGGGCAACAGCAAGAGCCTGCTCAGAAGCCTGCAACAGCTGCCAATTCTATACCTGCCCTATGCACTTATATAATTAAATCACTGCTGCTGGATGGTAAGTAAACACAGAACAGATCACATAGATCAAACACAAACTTAGGATTCATTCAAGAAATACAACCATGATCCATAGATACTCAAACCTCCTTAAAATTCCCTAGTCAGGTTTCTCACGCATTTAGTCAGGTAGAATACCATTACCTTCCCAAACCCAAGCATCACCACCTCTTCACTACCCAAAGCCATTAGGGTTTACAAATGATGGACACAGTCTGCTGAGGAGTCCCAGCCTGTGGCTATGTTTTATAAGCAAAAGAGGAATCAGGCACCAGTACTTCAGGGACCATTTAGTTATTTGATTCCGGAAAGAAGACTGTGTTAGCAGCACTTCAGAGAGGTTAGGATTTAATTTAGAGCTCCAACTCAAATCTCCACTGCAGTTGAGGCATGAGCTCATGTACACATTCCCATCAGTATTTCATATTCGCTAGTTTGGAAACTTTTTCAGCATGTTTTGAGTATCAGTGCTAGGTACAATTTTCTATGTCATACTTAAGTAATACAGCATTTAACTGCTAGTGTAAAAATTAACAGCAGTGTTGTGCATCTGGATAGTAGTACCCATAAAGAACACTGGAGAACATTGCTGCCTCCCACAGACATTTTAACCCGTCTCACATCAAGTGACAGGGATGGAAAACCTTTCATATTATAAAAATTTACACTTCATTATTTGCACAAGCATCTAAAACATAGAATGAAGACAAACCAGTAACACTGAAATGTACTTTGTGATGTGTATTAAAGCAAGTACTTGCATTTTCAGAACTAGTGACAGCCTGATTTTCAAAGTGTTTGGGACTTCCTGAAAAAATTAACGGCTTTATGACACACCCAACCATGTTCCTACATGTCTTAAGTCAAACATTTGGACAGTGTCTTGCTTAGTCAGAAAACCATTCATCAACATCCATAACTGAAGAAAAAAGGTTAGCAAGCATACCTTAAAGAGCGAGTAGTCACAACCAGGCATTAAATTACTAGAAAGCTGGATATGGTTGTATAAACTATGGGAGGGAAAAAAGCAGGATTAAACACTAAGCATTAGGTTACAGTACAAATTCTGAAACAGCTCCAGACATATAACCACCCCCCCCAAATTAAGAAGCGATGAAGTTATTTCAGAAGCAACCCTAATTCAGCAGTAAAAAAACATGAACTTTAAGATGTTCTGGGCTTCAAGCAGCAGAATCGAAACCAATTTATGAACACTTGTGGGGCTCCTGTACCAATGCTTCTTTTAAACTTAGTTATAACAAAATTGTTAGGAACCTAATTCACTGAGCTTTTGTGGCAGCGAGTTGTGTACATGTGTATTCTGTACATATACATACATGGAATGAGGGTGATTGTTTATATTTCTAAGGCTACTCTCACTGCATAGTGCTTTTAGGATGAATATTAAACTTCGTTATTTAACACAGTACTCTAGGTATGAAGGCTGTAGGCCTGGGAAATTAAGGGCTCAAAGGTAAGAACAGATGACAGAAAACAAAACAAAATATATACTCTGAATTAAAATTTACAACTATGCATTTCAGAGAAAAAAATAATCAAATGAGTACATGTGATCTCCTCCACTAGGAAGAGTATAGAACCTTTTCCCCCCCCTGCACTGGCAGGGTCAGACTTCAGGAAATGGCCTGCACATATACAGCAACCTACAGCCCAAGGCCAACTAACACTCAGGCATGGTTCAGCACCAAAACTAAAATTAATTACTGTGATATTCTAACAATGAGAAATGAAGTACAGGAATTTACAATGTCAGTTAAAGATTATGACATTCCCTCCTTTAAATTCACCTTAACTGTAGCATTTTCTCCCCACACCAACACACCTACTTCCCAGTCCAACCACACAGGAGGTGTAACTTCTCACCTGCTTGGGACTGGTTTTATACCTTCACTGCAGACATCTAGATTAAGTACTTCTTTTAATTACATAAGACTATCTTGGTTATAGGAGCTCAAAAACTTACCCTTAACCACCTTTAATAGTGAGCTTCACACAATTTAGCTGCCCATCACATAACCCAAGCCTGCAAATTATGGGCTCACTCAACCATCAGCCATCCCCACAGTAGGAATGGGGAAGATGGTTATAAGCCCAGAAGCCTATTCCCCCTCCCTGTGACAACTGTTACTGAAATTCTTGAAGCATTTTTCTTCCTTGTTGATGCTAATGGGACACCGATGGGCCTAATTATTCTGCTAAGACACCAACTCTCACCTTTGCTAATCACATCCAAAAAAAATTGAAAAAACCCTTAAGAATCCCAACCACTCAGTGTAGCATGAAACACTAAGATCAAATATATAATGCTTTTTTCACTCTCAATTTCATGTCACTTGCATTTTCTCCGTATTTCATCATTATGGCAGGCAAAATCTTGCAAGTAAGCCACTTGAATGTGACTGAAGCAAGTGCCTGGAAAGCACAGGGCTATCTTCACAGGGCTTGTTACTGCTTTTGGAGCCTACCTACTTTCACAGTCCCTCAATTTAGAATGAAGGACATTCCTTCTGTAACCTCTAACAAATGAACTTCTTTCAAGGATGCTCTTAATCAGATTCAGGCACTGGCACATGTGATGTGAGCCAGCAGTCTGAGAACTTAATCAAGGGACAAAACGTGGGGCCAAGAGAGTGACAATCAGCTGGCCACCAGAATTTGCAAGTCACTACGAGACAGCTACTGCACAAATAAAATTTTCTACATGTATGTCATGTACATATGAATATAAGCAGTGCTGCAGTGTTACAGCAAGGCAATGTGCATGTAAAGCATGAATGAAGAGCTTCTCCACTCATTTTTTTCAAAATTTACATTCTACCATATGAGACAGACCTCATCTGTGATTTTGCAAGTATTTCAGATTATACAAAAAAAATTGCAGTTAATGGAGTACTTTATGAGGGTTTTAACTTTGGCATGAGCTTTACCAACAAATCCCAGAATTATGCAGATTGAAAAATCTTTACTTACGCCCAAAAATCTTCAACAGTATCAAACTTTGAGATAAGACGAAGGTTTGCTTGCCAGGTTTTGCTCTTGTCATTTTTAAAAAACCACAGTGCCCATCTAAAGAAAAACAAAATAAGAGCATCTAGAAATTAAAATGTATTAAAACCACTACTTGTATTACTATATCCAAACCAATTGCAAATCTTAAGGTATTATCATCTAGAGATCAGTTTTCATCAATAAGGTGCATGATAAATTCTATTCTCAAAGAGAACTCTTTACAGATCAACAATATTTGTGCTCCAATTACAAGAATCACAGCAAGCTGTGATCAATCTGTTCAGGTAAATATTTCAAATAGTTTTTGAACTTTGCTAAGACTCTGAGCCTCAGATGTTTCCCCTTGCTGCTGCTGCTAAACTGTAATCCCCTACTACAAATAACTGGTTATGGTCTAAAACAACATCAGCTATTCAGACTAGAAGCACAGCTCCCAGTCCAGTAATTTCCTTGTAAAGGCTGCATAAGCTAATTATATCACTCCAAAGCTATAGATCACATGAAAGTTTCCCAAGCACTCACACACTAGGAAGCACCATTAAGCTCACTAATGGCAACAATCTTGGGAAAAACAGACTGATCTTTCCAAGATCCAGCATATGTAAAGACAAGCCTAAATGGAAAAATTCATCATCTCTGCTGAGTAAGAATCTCTACACATTATAAATTGAACCTTTCACACAAAGATGCACTTTCTGGATCTAAAAAGCATTGTATAAAATGCTGGAAGAGGATAACTGATGAGGCATTTAACCAAACAGGCTTATTTTTCATCCTGATCGTTTCAGCAGTGTCAAAACCACTCAGGTCAGCACTACAGTAGATTTATCTTCTCATAGCAGAAAACTTTAAGTCACCAGGTGTCAATCTATTGTTCTGAGACCCTTTCCTGACATTTCAAACCTTAACTTTATTCCTTTCCAGTGATAGCCTCACTACCACTTGTAAAGGAGTGTCAGTACCAATTTAATCAAGGTGCTTAGAGGAAAGAGAGGAAGGATGGAAGTTGAAAGACACAAGGGAAAATGGGATGCACACAGCACAGCACTACAGTGCAGCATGGTTTTCCATGCCTGTTCCACACAAACAAACAAGAAAAAAAAGGAGAAAGGTGCCACGTGGCAAAAGGTTGGCTTTGGAGCAGCACATTCCTACCAACACTGAGTACTGGGCATTCCACACCAATGCTTCAGCTGACTTGGACAAAGTTACTTCCTCGCTGGTCTTTCTGAAGTTTTAAGAGGGCTTGGATTTTTCACTAACTTTTAAATATAATTTAACTACTGCTTAATTATTTTGCTTAACAAGGAAAATTTGAGAGCTCTACAATTTTTTCCCCTCAGAGTGACACACTGGTACAAATGTGTGCATTTGCACTTCTACAGCGTTTCTTCTGCTGTACTTCCCAAAGATAATTAGAACAATTACTGTAGACACCAACCACTTACATGATGAAATCTAATATGCTCTTTGGCTGATAAACACAGCTTCTACTGCTCTAAGTTCCAAATAGGAAGAAAAAAGGCTAAGACATGAAGGAGTAAGATCGTAAGAAATGATGATGAGACATTTTTAAGACTAGGACCTTAATTTACCAGTTTTCCAGTTCTGCTGGGCAACTTCATCTCAGTGTCAGCCTCTTAAAATACACCAGACAAACCCAAGAAAAACTCTGCTTGTCTTCAGCTAAAAGCAAAGCCATGCTCTTTCCAAGTACCTGGCTGCATTATGAAAATTTGCACAGATTTTCAGCTTCTGTAATAGCATTATGTGAAAAAAATGAATTAACAACTGGATCACATTCTATTTCCTCTGCAACCTCACTGCAAAAAAACTGAAAAAACCCAGAGAACTCTCAAAATACTGCTATAGAACATAAGGTAAACAAGAGCTGTCAAGCCACAGGCATTTTTCTGTCTTTGGCCAAATCACAGTCATGCTTCATATGTACCTGTTTTGTAGTGGATGTTTAATATACTGTTCAGGGCTGGCAACCTCCTGACTGGGTGCTGGCTCGGTTTTCTCCTCTTCTGCAGGCTGGGGGTTGGGAGTGGTTTCCTGTTTGAAGAAAGCACTTATTAATACATTCCTTCTCAACTGTTATTGAAGTAATTTAGTTCTTTGAAGTAACTTTAAGAAGGTTGAAGCTAAGAGTTCCTACAATTCTCTTGATTAGGGACCCAAATCACATCAGGGAAGCACAATTTGTATCCCTTTATTCTCCAGCATCTGAACAGGTCCTGTAGTAAACCCTAACTGCAGGAATACACATTCTGCTGTTCAGTGATTGGCTTCTCATGTAATTTGTTTCCAGAATGGTTTACTTAACATACCTGCCTAATTTCAAAAGAGTTTTGAGAGTGATTTCAGAAATATACAATGTTATCTAGAAAATGCACATCTGAAATAAATTTACAGAACAATAACTGAGGAAGGAAAATGATTTTTAATTAGTTTCTGACAAAGCATCAATGGACACAGATGTACAGATCCTGTTATTTAGAAAAATCTGTTCATACAAGCAGGAGATATGCCTACAATATATGCAAGCAGCTCAAAGCCAAGCCAGTAAGTAGTTACCTTTGCATTTCTAACATCACCACGAACCAAACTGTAGAATTGAAATGCACATCAGTTCTCAAATTTCAAACTGAAATAATTACCGGTTTAGTACAAATTAGACTGATTCCAGGTGTCATTTTTTTGAAGTCTGTAGAGCCAGTGCTAGAAATGTTAAATAAACTTCAACACACAGTAGTAAAATATATTCTCTTTGCATGCAAATCCCCCTCAAGCTACTCATTCAGCTCCAGAAGCCACTGAGTCAGGTTTGAAATTCTAATGCCATTCCTACAAACCAGGGAATACAAAGCTTCATTGTGAGGCCAAGTGTCCCTGCCAGTTACCACCATCTCTCTAATCTGCAATCCATGCTAGAATATTACAGAAACAAGGAGTAAGTACTATTGCTTGTTCCCTCCAAACAACACAAAAATCCCTGCACTGCTGACCCTGTGAAAGAAAAAACACTTCAGTAATATAAACAAAAGCTAATTACAGCAGACCCTAAGACACTAGACATTTCTAAATGCAGCCATAGTATCTAAAAATTAATTTAAACTTTGTGGCCTTGAGACAACAAATTAATATGGGGTGGATTAAGTAATGGGAAGTCATTTAATTAATGGAAGCTTACTCCAAGCTTCCACATAACTCAGTGCATCATCACACCAAAGCTGCTGAGAAGTGGGTAACACTGTTCAATCTTCACAGACCCAGCTGGCAAACTCTTTTAACAACTAAAGATCTCTCTTATCAGGATTTTCTTTTCCTTATCAATATATTTAGCATTATTAAGCATGATACTGAGTTTTACATCCCTAAAGATCTCTTATCAGGATTTTCTTTTCCTTATCAATATATTTAGCATTATTAAGCATGATACTGAGTTTTACATCAGAGAAGTTACACCTTTATGGTTGAAAATAATCTAAATATAGAAGTGCTTCAGTTTAACAGCTCACCTAGAAAAAACACTTCAGCTCAAAAGCTGGTTTACATCACATACACCTGCATTCACAGTAAGGAACAGGAGCACTAGGCCAGTGCTTGGATTCACATGGTACAGAGGGCAAGGAGTACCATTTCCTGCCTCTTAAACAAAATGCTTTCTGAAGATTCCCCAGAGGTATCATCACTGACAAGCCCACAGAAGCAGTGTTGAACAACCTGGCACATCTCCTCCAGTGTACTACTATAAAAAGATAAACAGATCTTCAAAAATTTGAAGAACATCCGAAGTTTTTATCTAGAAGAAAATTTCTAGTGTTACCCCCTTCAAACGCACACCTTCAATCACACACAACCACCCACTGAACAAATTAAGATAGACAATGCACACAGGCTGCAAAATACACCAAGAAAGCACTGTGGTCTTTCCTCCTCTGAGTTCTCATCTGTATTATATTACAAAAAGTCAAGTACAGATGACTAAAATTTAAGTGTTGCCCCTTTAGGGGCTTCTAGCTAGAAGATTGATAAATATTACATGTACAAATACAAAGACCATACAAGAAAAATCTCGCTGATATTTTGGAACAGCACTAAGTTTTGTGATAAAGCTTGCTTTCATTCACAATACTCTGCAGTTCTGGCATCTGAAATTTAACTTGATTTACAAATGCTATTACACCAGAGATTTTTACATCAAATACTCTGCATTCAGCAAGAGTGAGTCTATCTCCCAGAAACAATTTCAGTCGAGAATTTCATTCATGTTTGCTAAGCAACTAGCTTTCAACATACAAAGAGCTAATCCTAAAGTGTCCCCGGTCACTCTTCCAGCAGTATCAGGACTACATAAAGTGGAAGGATCGATACAAAACCACTGAGCACATGTAGGGCTATGTTGTTTCAGAACTTCTAATACAAAGACATGCAGGGCTATGTTGTTTCAGAACTTCTAACACAAAGACAACATGGGAAAGGATTAAACTGGCACCTCCAGACAAGAGGGGAAAAAAAAAAAGCAATGAGCCTCAGCACCTACTTAGTACAGCGCTAGCCACCCTTCACACAGCTGCATGAAACTCCATCTTTGGACAAATAGGAGACACCTGAGTCAGCACAAACATTTAAGTCACAGCAATAATAAATCCCTTTAGATACTTCGAAAGCTACTAATCATTATTTCAAGCTCCTGTTCAAATCAGAACGTGACAACTCATCTCCAAGGCCCAGCTATGACAGTGACCCAGAAGTGTGCCACTCCCCTCAAAAACCAACCCAACCAGAACAGGTTTTTTTTGGCACCAGACAGCCCCATCAAGCATAGGTACACACCAGACTAAACCTGGAAGAAGGTGTAAAGTTGGAAACAGAGCTCATTACCACAAAACAGCTTTCTGGCTGGTCTCAGGCAGAAGCCTAAAGTAGCTTGGTTTAGCCTCCTTGTACTTCCCACAGCCATCAAGGCAAACAGAAAAAGAACCATTTTCATTTTTGGCTGGTTAATCATTACCAGCTATTTCCTTTCATCATACCTTTATCTCACTATTCTGACCATCAAGCTGAAGGGTTTGTATACTTTGATTAATCAAATATGAAGCATCTAAGTTTATTAACTGGCAAAGTCCATTTCTGGTATTCTACAGAATTCTATTCTATAAATCCCACACGAATTAACGTTACTCTGTCCTACACATTGCACCAATTCACACCCTGAAACCTTGCAATTGCAACCCCATTAACTTGAAGTCAGACTGACTCCACCAGCAGTTCCTGGACTACTAAAATTCTTCGTAATACTTTATTATTGTTCATAACTAATGCATTCTTTAACCTAAAATTGACTTTGCATCTAGTATTAAACTAAGTAACCACCCGCTTTGCTGCTTTTAAACTACAGGTAATAAAATAGTGTAGTTCTACCAGATAAACTGGAAAGTTTCATATGGCCAATCCCACTTCCCATACACGAGGCAGCACGTAATTAAAAGTGACATTTATTCACTACCCACATGGTTTGTGATGTAGGAATCAGCTTGCAGAAGTCCATGAAACATTTGCCTACTCAGCATTTAATGCCTGTGTGCATCTGCACATTACTTGGACTCTGACACTTGCAGATTTAATTGGTGTTATTTATTCTTTCTCCACAGCACATAATGACCAACGTGTCACCAGGACAGAAAACAAATAGCATTTACAGTAAAAACTGCTTAATCAGCTTTGTCTATTGAAGAGAACAACGAGCTTGACTAGGTTTTACCAAGTGCTTTCAGATGCTGCCCAGACCACATTCGTGTCATTAGCTGCCCATGGAAGCAGCTTAGCAAGTCCAGTTAAGGGAGTGCAACATTTATTGCCCTAAAGGATGCAACCCAGCACTACTATGCACTCTCAGTGAAGGCCAAGAGAATTACTTAGTGGAAAAGGCTTCCAAAGTCTTCTAGTATGAAAAAAAATAATTAAAAAAGTTACATTCCAGAGCTTTCAACTTCTTGTTTACTTGCTACACTACAGTTAGGATAACAATTCACACGACAAAATCGAGAGCTATTTACTGCAAAATATTCTAGACAAAAAAGGATTAATGCCCACCCACGAGCAAGTGTTATGTCCTGTAAGAAAACAAACCAAGCAATGATCTCACAACTCTGACAAGTGAACATACATCAATAAAAATCACACTAGTATGTGTAACAGCAACTGGAAGAGAGGCACTAATAGCCACCTGTTACCAATTTAACAGTCTGAAGTAGATTTTCAGACACCAGGACAGAGAAAAGACTTCTAGGTGTGGCATAAGGCCTAACAGAGAGCAGCTATCCTAATTGCATACACCATGATTTAGAACAACACAGATTTTCAGAAAGGCTTTCGTTACTACAATACAAATGTGGAACCTGATTTTAACTGAGTGACATCCCCTCAAATTAGAACAGAAGCACAACACATGTGCAGGAGGACAGGAACAAAAGGCTTAAGTCAAACAGTCAGACACTTCCTCCCGGATCAGAGGGGCACACTGGTTTAGTTTTGTAGGAAACATCACCTCCGTTTTAAAAGATACGAAATACTTACAGCCCTTTCAGCTTCTGAAAAATGGGTTACATGCACTTGAAAGCACCCATCAGATTTTCAACATTTCACTCACAACCTTATGACTAGCATTAGCAAACAAGTAACACAGCAGATCAAAATACTTCAGTACCTCTGTGGGGTTTTTTTCCAGCTGCCTAAGCAAGCAGCCCTCGTGCTAACCCCTCTCACTCTGCTCTGCACTCTGCTACTGCCTTTTACTACTGGAACACAATCTACCCATGAGATGACTTTCCACATCTAACATTCTGTTAATAATAAGGCACTTGGACAAGGAAACAAAAAGTTCCCAGAACTCCTGAGAACAGTTCAGATGACACAAAGGACAAAAAGCCTCTCATTTCCCTGCACACTTCTACACAAATGCACTCCAAATTTCTTTGAGTATACTGAGCCACTGGTACAACCAACCATAGAGTTTTAGAGCAGCTGAAAAATTAAGGTACATTCAGTCTTCAGAAAAGAATTTAAAACG